ACCTTGGTTTAACCAGGAGATCTTACATGATCTAAAAATAAAAAAGGAATTATATATAAAGTAGAAACTAGATCAAATTAGAAAGGATGAATATAAGCAAACAACGTAAGTATGCAAGGACAAGATTAGAAAGGCAAAGGCACAAAATGATCTCAGTCTAGCTAGAGACATAAATGGAAGCAAGAAGACATTTTAGAAATATATTAGAAGCAAGAGGAAGACCAAGGAAAGGATAGGCCCATTGCTCAGGAAAGAGGGAGAAACAATAACAGGAAACTTGGAGATGGCAGAGGTGCTTCATGATGGCAGAGGTGCTTCTTTGTTTTGGTTTTCACCAAGAAGATTGATGCTGATGAGATACCTAACATAGTGAATACTAGTGGGAAAGCAGTAGGTTCATAGAACCATAGAGCTGGAAGAGACCTGAGAAGCTCATCGAGCCTAGCCCCCTGCTCTAGGCAAGATCAATCCCAACTAAATCAACCCTGCCAGAGCTTTGTCAAGCCGAGACTTAAAAATCTTGTGGGATGGAGACTCCACTACTTCCCTAGGTAACCCATTCCAGTGCTTCACCACCCTCCTAGTAAAATAGTTTTTCCTAATATCCAACCTGGACCTCTCCCACCACAACTTCAGACCATTGCTCCTTGTTCTGCCATCTGTCAATACTGAGAACAGCCTCTCTCCATCCTCTTTGGAACCTCCCTTCAGGAAGCTGAAGGCTGCTATCAAATCCCCCCTCACTCTTCTCTTCTGAAGACTAAACAGACCCAACTCCCTCAGCCTCTCCTAGTAGGTCATGCGCTCCAGCCCCCTAATCATTTTGGTTTCCCTCTTCTGGACCCTCTCCAATGCGTCCGCATCCTTTTTGTAGTGGGGGGCCAAAACTTGACAGAATACCCCAGATGTGGCCTCACCAAAGACGAATAAAGGGGAATAATGACATCTCTGGATCTGCTGGCAATGCTCCTCTTAATACAACCTAATATGCCATTAGCCTTCTTGACTACAAGGGCACACTGTTGACTCATATTCAGCTTCTCATCCACTGTAACCCCCAGGTCCTTTTCTGCAGAACTACTTCTTAGGTGATTGGTCCCCATCCTGTAACAATGCTTCTGTCCCAAGTTCAGGACTCTGCATTTCTCCTTGTTGAACCTCATCAGATTTCTTGTAGCCCAATCCTCCAATTTGTCTAAGTCACTCTGGACCCTATCTCTGCCCTCAAGCGTATCTACCTCTCCGGCTAGCTTAGTGTCATCTGCAAACTTGCTGATGGTGCAATTCATCCCCTCATCCAGGTCATTAATAAAGATTTTGAACAAAACTGGTCCTAGAACCGAACTTTAGGGCACTCTGCTAGAAACCGACCACCAACCTGATATCAAGCCATTGATTATTACCCGCTGAGCCCGGCCTTCTAGCCAGCTTTCTATCCATCTTACCATCCATTTATCCAATCCACATTCCCTTAACTTGCTGGCAAGAATATTGTGGGAGACGGTATCAAAAGCCTTGCTATAGTCGAGGTATATCACATCCACTGACTTTCCCACGTCCACAGAGCCAGTTACCTCATCATAGAAGTTGATCAGATTGGTCAGGCATGACTTGCCCTTCGTGAATTAATACTGACTATTCCTGATCACTTTTCCCTTTTCCAAGTGCCTCAAAATGGATTCCTTAAGGATCCCTTCCATGATTTTTCCAGGAACTGAGGTAAGACTGACCGTCCTATAGTTCCCTTGATCGTCCTGCTTCCCTTTTTTGAAGATGGGGACTATATTTGCAAAGATGGGCACTACATTTGCCAGGTTTAGAAGTTAAAATTAAAAAAGGACAAGTTAAAAATTACCTAGAAAAAAATAGATGTTTTCAAGTCACCAGGCCCTGATGAACTACCTCCTAGAATACTTAAAGAGTTGATAGAGGAAGTATCTGAGACTCTAGCTATCATCTTCGGAAAATCATGGAAGTTGGGAGAGATTCAAGAAGACTGTAAAATGGCAAATTCATCTATTACAAGGGAAATAAGATCAACCCACATAACTACAGATTAGTCAGTTTAACTTCTGTGCCAGGGAAGATAATGGAGGAAGTAATTCAGGAATTCATCTGCAAACATCTGGAAGATAATAAGATGATAGGTAACAGCTAGCATGTATTTGTAAAGGGCAAATCACATAAAACCAATCTAATAGCTTTCTTTGATAGGATATCAAGCTTTATGGATAAGGGAGAAGTGGTGGACATGGTATACCTAGATCTTAGTAAAGCATTTGACACAGTCTCGCATGATCTTCTTATCAATAAACTAGTGCAATACAACCTAGATTTTTTGGGGCTACTATAAGGTGGGTGCATAACTGGCTGGATAACATTCGCAGAGAGCAGTTATAAACAGTTCACAATCATGCTAGAAGGACATAACAAGTGGGGTTCCGCAGGGGTCTGTTCTGTTCAATATCTTCATCAACAATTTAGATGATGGCATAGAGAGTATGCTTAATAAGTTTGCAGATGATACGAAGCTGGGAAGGGTTGCTACTGCTTGGGAAGATAAGGTCCTAATTCAAAATGATCTGGACAATCTGGAGAAATGGTTTGATATAAACAGGATGAAGTTTAATAAGGAAAAATGCAAAGTACTCCACTTAGGAAGGAACAATCAGTTTCACACATACAGAATGTGAAGTGACTGTCTTGGAAGGAGTACTGATAAAAAGGATTTAGGGATCATAGTGGACCACAAGCTAAATATGAGTCAACAGTGTGACACTGTTGCAAAAAAAGCAAACATGATTCTGGGATACATTAACAGGAGTGTTGTGAGCAAGACATGAGAAATCATTCTTCTGATCAACTCTGTGTTGATTAGGCCTCAATACTAGAAGGCTGTGTCTAAACTGGCAAGTTTTTCCGGAAAATCACCTGCTTTTCCGGAAAAACTTGCCAGCTGTCTACACTGGCCGCTTGAATTTCCGGAAAAGCACTGACGAGCTCATGTAATACTATGCTGCTTCCGGAAATACTATGCTGCTCCCGTTTGGGGAAAAAGTCTTTTTCCGAAATACTTTTGCACAAAAGGGCCAGTGTAGACAGCACAGTACTGTTTTCCGCAAAAAAGCCCTGATCGCAAAAATGGCGATCGGGGCTTTTTTGTGGAAAAGTGCATCTAGATTGGCCATGGACGCTTTTCCGCAAAAAGTGCTTTTGCAGAAAAGCATCCTGCCCATCTAAACGCTCTTTTCCAAAAATGCTTTTAAAGGAAAACTTTTCTGTTAAAAGCATTTCCGGAAAATCATGCCAGTGTAGACGTAGCCAATCAGAAAAGTTTTCCGTTAAAAGCATTTCCGGAAAATCATGCCAGTGTAGACGTAGATGTATTGTGTCTAGTTCTGGGCACCACACTTCATGAAAGATGTGAAAAAATTGGAGAAGGTCCAGAGAAGAGCAACAAAAAAGATTAAAGTTCCCGAAAACATGAGTTATGAGGGAAGACTGAAAGAACTGGGCTTGTTTGGTTTGGAAAGGAGAAGACTGAGTGGGGACATGATAGCAGTTTTCAAGTATCTAAAAGGCTGTCATAAGGAGGAGAAAGACAAATTGTTCTCCTTGGCCTCTGAGGATAGTACAAGGAGCAATGGGCTTAAACTGCAGCAAGGGTTGTTTAAGTTGGACATGGGGAAAAACTTCCTAACTGTCAGGGTGGTTAAACACTGGAATAAATTGCTGAGGGAAGTTGTGAATCTCCATAACTGGAGATATTTAAGAGCAGGTTGGATAGACATTTATCAGGGATAATCTAGACCAGGGGCGGGCTATAATTTTTAAAAGCTGCCCTGGAAAGGACGAGGCTTTGGACAGAAGGGGTAGGGTCGGGAGACTTCTCTGCTCCCCCACCCACAGACACTGGTTGGCTGGGGGTGAGGGAGCACATGAAGTCTTCCCCCACACCAGAGAGAATTGCCACAAGTTTTAAAACAGTTGGCGGTTCCCTCTAGGCATTGCAGTGGGAGGAGACCTCATGTGTTCCCTCTTCCCCCAGGCCAATCAGGTGAAGAAATGGTCAGGAGCAGTCTGAGGCTGGCTGCAGCAGCTGGCGCCGCAGGCGGAAGGTGTGATCAGCACCTCCGCCTTCACAGCCGTCAATGACTGTGATGTAATCATCGGGTGCCCGGGCACCCCATGGCGGCACCCTAGGCTCATGGGCCACCCCTGGAAATGTTATGTCAAAAGCAGAACACTTTCCCATCAACAGGATCACTCCACCTCAGTGAGATGCAGACGCTTTCTTGGTGGGAGAGCATCACCTGAGGATGTAGCATGGGATAGATACTGCTTCAAATCAGAGGAAGTTACACCTCTCAAAAGGAGTGTTTCTTTTGCAGCCCTGAACAACGTAACTTACATTGTCTTAAGGTGATGGTGTCCAACCAGTTCTAAAGCAGTAGCCACAATAGGTAAAGTGTGCTATAGCGAACTAGCCATATATAGTTGTGCTATAGCGAACTTGAGCCACATTGTTCAAGCCAACTAGCTCTGCTCAACTGGACAAATAGCCATATGGACACACCAGACTTAAGCAATAGTGCAGTCAAGCCCTCCTTCTTACCAGCAGAGGATTTAGGGCAGGGCGAGCGGGGCGGCTGCCCCGGGCCCCATGCTTCCCGAGGCCCCGCGCATGTGCCGTGGCAAAGGCGGGGCCCTGCAAAATTTCGCTGCCCGGGGCCCCACGGTACTGCCCTGGGCCCCCGCGGCACTCTCATCTGCCCCTGTGCAGATGGACGGTCCATCAGGGCTTTTCCTGGAGGCCTTTTTTTCCAAAAAAACCTGGCTCCCCGCATCCACACACACCTTTTTTTGACAGATCTCTGTTGAAAAAGGCGTTCTTCCTTGTAAAACTAGGTTTACCGCCGTCGAAAAAAGAATTTTAGCTTCTTTCAATAGACATTTAAATGTTCTAGTGGTGATATCAGTACTGTGTCTTTCTATTACAGGACAAGAGTATCAGCCCTGAACTGGATCATGGCAATGCTGTCCTTGAATCCCCCACAGTCTCTCAGTCAGTCTCCAAAATGGAAAAATCCTCAAGTAAACAGCAGGGAGAGATGAAACCAGTAAGTGTGCAATGTTCTGTTTTCAGTCCAGTGAATAGCTTAATCCACTACAATGTCTGCCTAGTAACTATGAGTAGATTGCGGGAGGGCCAGTTGATAGAGTTACCAGACGATTTCACAAAAATACCAGACACACTTGATCTCAGATGAGGATCGGTACCGGCCGGAAGGGGAGTGGGCCTGGCTGGGAAAGGGGGGGTGAACCAGCTGGGAGGGAGCAGGGCTAGCCGAGAGGAGTGGGGCTGAGGAACCGGCTGTAGGGGAGCAGGGCTGGCCCGGGCACATGCAGATCCTGGGGTGCTGCCTGTCCCATGAACGGTCCTGGTGGAGCACACGGGGATTCCATCCTGCCCTGGCTCTGCCCCATTCCTCTCTACTGCATAGTTGTGTACTGTCTGGCTGGTAGACATGCTTACGTAGTATATGCATGTCTACCAGATAGGCAGTACGCAACTACGTACTGATACTCAAGATAATAATAAAAGGTACTTAATTAGAAAGTGCCGAACGTTTATATGTCCGGTATTTTCTCAATTTGTTTTCCAGACAGAAAGTTCAAATATCGTACTGTCTGGTTCAAAACTGGACACCTGGCAATCCTAGCAGCTGAAGACACATTGAATGCAACCAGGAACTATTCATGTGACCTCTTAAATAAATACAGGCAGTCCCCGGGTTACGTACAAGATAGGGACTATAGGTTTGTTCTTAAGTTGAATTTGTATGTAAGTCGGAACTGGCTCCAGATTCAGCTGCTGCTGAAACTGATCAGTGGCTGACTACAGGAAGCCGTAGGCAGAGTTGCTCTGTCCCCGGCTTCCTGGAATCAGCCGCTGATCAGTTTCAACAGCGGCCGGCACTGCCGGGTAGGTCCCGCAGGACCAACCCAGCAGCACCCCAGCTGCTCTACCCCAGGCGTCCTGCAACAAAAGCCTGGTCTGCTGGGGGGGAGGGCACACTAGCTGCGCCCCCTTCCTCCCCCCCAGCAGACCAGGGAGACCCAAGCAAAGCCGCAGAGGCGCAGAGGTCCCGCCGCCTCTGCGGCTTTGCTCCTGTCTCCCTGCTGTGCTGGGGGAGTCCGGGGCAAAGGAGCAAAGCCGCACGGGCAGCGGGGTCCCGCCGCCTGTGCGGCTTTCCTCGGGTCTCCCTGCTGTGCTCGGGAGTCCCCCCCCAGCACACCAGGGAGACCCGGAGCAGATTTTCTCTCCCCAGAGAAAAGCCCCGTTCGTAAGTGCGGATCCAACATAAGTCGGATCCGCGTAAGTCGGGGACTGCCTGTAAATATTTTCATATCTCCTTTGGTTTTGGATATACAAAGAGGGCTTTGCAGTTAACATGTTCTAGCCTTTGGGAGATCTTATATAACCACTTAAGTACTGACTGCCCCCTGTTAGCTGCAGATGTGGTCTGTGGATATAGTCCCTGGCTAGTGGATGTTGTGAGGGTAATACTGCTGCATCTGCAATACTGTTAATGGATGCTGCAGGCCATGCATCCTACACTAATAAAATATGAACTGCCTATGGTGTTGTCTGAACACTCATGCCTTCCTGGGGTTTGTCTTTAAGTGTCATAAATCAGGATTCTACTTAAAAACACAAAGGCTTTTATCCTCAGTTTGGCTTTTTGCCCCTTCCTATAGCTCTCCCTTGCTTATGAGTTCTTAGGCCAAGATTTTAAAAAATGAGACCCTAAGATTAGGTTCCCTAGACCATATCTGTGTACTAAAGTGAGTGGGCTGATTTTAACAAATGCTCTGAAAATAATCAGACCACAATTCTTTGTGGCCAATGCTCCTGAAACTTTACTGGGAGCTTAGTCACCCAGGTTTGAAAATCTTGGTTTCAGCCAGAGGTCCTGATTTATTCCTAAATTGGAGATTCACCTGTATCTAGGGTGAGGCACTGGAATAGTTCTACAGGTATGAACAGGATCTAAGTCTGATAGCTGGTGATCACAGTTATTCATTTCACTCTGATGCTACTTGTCAGGTGCTACAGAATGTCTTCAGAGATTATTTCCCTAGTGCTTTGACGCAAGTACATCCATTAAATGTAAATTGGACAGCCTATCTTCAAGGAAATAGATGAAAAGGAAATAGATAAAAACACTGACTGAGCTTCAAGGCTGGAAATTCATATTTAATTACTTTTTTTTTCTTTCTTAGTAATAATGGAAATTACTGTAATCACAAACAAGTTTTGGGCCCAGAACAGCATCAGCTGAGTGGTTGTTTAGCTTTTCCTGGCGATCAAATGGTGATAATGCAGATCCACATACAGAAGAGCTGATTTTATATTACTTATTTACTTTCTGCATTTGTTCCACAGCCAGGTAAATGAAGTTGGTTGCTAAGCTTCAGGCAAGCGGTTGCCATTCAGAATGACTCATCAAGCCTTGTTAACTAGAGTGCATCTGTGGGTTTTTCCGTTAGAGGTCTTAGCATGCGTTCTTTCCTCCACAGACACAAATGAGTGCTCTCTCAAAACTCTAGCCTTTTGCTCTAGGGAAAGGAAAAAACATGAAATGGCTAATTACATTTATAAAAATGATCTTTAAGGGATGAAAGAAGAACCAGTCAGTTACTGTCTGTCATATTTAAACTGCAATTACTGTTCTGTGTATTGATTTTCATAGAGTTACAACACAGTTCAATTGAACACATTAACCTTTATGGGCAATGTAAACAAAAAGCTGAGCTGAGGCATTGTAGAATTGCAATTGTCAAAGTTAATACACATGCACATTAGATTACATTTTCATTTTTGTCTTTACTAAAATCAACATAAATAAGGGGTATGAACATTTTGGAAGTTGGACAAAAGTTCTGAGTTTAAGTAACTCAAAATACTTACAATGCTTTTTATCTGGGGATCTTTATCAAGGAGAATGTAACAATTTCCCCTCCCGCTCCCTTTGCAGACTGGGAAATGCAGGCAGAGAGAGATTAAATCATGAGTTGTTCAAGCTATTCATCAAGAAGTGGAAGAGCTAGGAATAGGAGTCAGATATTCTGATTTTCAACTGCATGTTCTCTCCACTAGATCAGTGTTTCTCAAAGAGTTCTGCAGGCTGGAATGATGCTAGTGGGCCTGAACCACTTTGTTCACCTAAAGGGCCCATAGCCACAGAGCCTCGCAGCTCCCATTGGCTCTGGTTCACCATTTCCACTCAAGGGGCACCACAGAAATCAAATGGGAGCTGTGAAGCTCCATGGCACAGCCCCTAATACAGCGGGGCCAACCCGCAGCTCGTGAGCCGCATTCAGCTCTTTCCCCCTTCCCCTGGTGCGGCTTGCGAAGCTGCCCCCGTGGCTCGTGAAGCTGCCCCTGCGCCCCTAGAAATGGCCCCCAGGTCCCTGTGCTCACCAGAACAGGGAAGCCATCCAGTGCAGCGATTCAAAATGGTGTTGCCAAGATGGCAGTGGCTGACGGGAACTTGATCTGGCCAAAAAACCTTGTCTTTTAAAAGGTTCTGCATCTTTTTATTTTTCTCAAAAAAAATTGTTGCTCCAAAAAAAAAAAAAAAAAAAATTCTGGTGCGGCTCTTCGCATTTTTTCCGCCACTGTTTGGCCACCCCTGCTTTAGGTAAACAAAGCAGTGAGAAGTCTAATAGTGGCTTTCCTAATGCGGGTCCACAGAACAATTTGCAAAACATTGCACTAGATCACATTAATTTGTTCTGTAGTTCAATACTCAGAAGACTCTTCAAATTGATAGGGTCAAAGAGATGTGGGAGAGTATGTTAGCTACTTCTGGAAATATGCATGCACTGAGCCTTTATCAGCAAAGCAGATATTTCCTTTTAAAAGGTACACATTAAATGCTGAAATTAGGCTCATTTTCAGTGCCTTAAATGATAATCTGTGTAAACACCACTGATTAGATTTTGGAAAGCATTGATTATTAAAGATATATTTTTAAAATTGTTTAAAATGTTTGTGGCAAGTACAGCTGGGTCCAAATTATAAATTTGAATCTGCAACTAATCTTTTTTTTATAAAGTTCAAAGATTTTTAGATCAGATGGCTTAGATTAATCTAAACCTTGACAGTAAAATATAGCAATACATCTTTTTTGCTTATATAGTTAATTACAAATGTATACAGTTCATTCTATATGGGTGTTTAACATATACTAATAATATTTACTACTAAACAAAATAGACTCAGTACTTTGAATTTTTTTTTTTGGCTAGGAATAAATTACTGAGATTTCTTCTACTGAAAATGTTATGAAAAATTAATTAAAAAATACCTCCTACCAATTTCTAGTTAGAGTAGTGTGACAGTGGGCAGATAATAGCATCCATTTTGAGAGAATGCGAGAGAGAGAGAGAGAGAGAGAGAGACTAAAAAACAATGAGTGTTCCTGTAGCACCTTTGAGACTAACAAAAGAAAATGGATAGGATCATGAGCTTTCATGAGCAGAATCCACTTCTTCAGATGAATGGAGCAAGAAGGAAAGGAAGGAAAGAAGGTGTGAGGAACTGCTTAAACACCCAGGAGAGCACTGGACAGAGCAGAATATGCATCTTTAGGAAAAATCAGAATGGGAAATGTGTTGGGGTCACCCCTACAAATAGTAAGCAAGGTGGGTGGAAGCCAGAATGTGATTGGAGTGTTGCTGACCTTCTGCCAGACCAGAGCTATACTCAGATAGACCAGGGTGTTACCTACATGCTATTAACCTGTTTGTGAGCAGTCCTAGTTAGGAGCTACAACAGCAAAGCATTGTGGGTCAGGTGGTGACAGCCCCTTATTGCTCTGGATTGCCTCCCAAAGCATTACACCGTCCATAAGGAATTCCACAGAAAATTCAAATTTGCGGAAGGTTGTTCTTGTCCCTAAGCTCTGGATTGGGATTCAGGCCATCAGGATGCAATTTCTGGCTCTGCCAAAGACGTGCAATGTGACCTTGGGCAAATCACTTCAGTCACTGTAGCTCAGTTCTCTGTCTGCCAAATGTTTCCCCCCTTTTATCCTTGTGTAGAGGAAGG